AAACAAAGGAGGAGGCTACAATGCTTGATAAAAATGTACTCATTATCTTGCCCATGTAATTGTAACCCCTCTGTACAGTATTTTCACAATAAAAAAAATACTTTGAGTGGTATGCAAGTATACATAAATGTATTAACTGAAAGACCAAAGATTCAGGGGCAACCTTAAGTGTAATTTCTTGGAAAGGCTAAATCAAAGTTCAAAAAATAAATACCAGGAAATGAGTACTCGAAAGGAGTGTGGTCAAGGGAAGAGGAGCGATCAATGAAAAAAAGGAGGGAGGGAGGGAGAATGTAGTCAAGAATCCAATGTGTATCCAATATGTATAAGGGGTAGGTAGGGGAAGAAGAAGTGAGAATGTTGAAAGGGAGATATATTGTAGTCATAAACTGCTTTGTTGAAAGGCAACTCCTTTGTACAACTAAAGATAAAAAAGTTTAAAAGGAAAAAGAAATATGAATGCCCACCCATCATAGTGTTCATACCTATAAATCCTAGCTACTCGGGGCAGCTAAGACTGCCCCACCCCCACGCCCCTGGCCAGGCAAATAGTTCTCAAGACAGCTTCTCAACTTATAGCTGGGTATAATATTGCCCACCTGTCATCCCGGCTATGAGATGAAGAAAACTGGGCCTAGCCTGGGAAAAAATGAGTTTACAGGACCTCATTTCAACAGAAAAGGCCAGGCATAGTGGTGTCATCTTAGCTACCGTGGAAAGTATAAAACAAGAGGATTGCAGTCCAGGTGCAGACTCAGGCAAAGAGCAAGACTAGTGGACAGAAGGGCAGGAAGTATGGCTCATCCGTAGAGCATTTGCCTAGCAAGCAAGAGAGCCTGAGTTCAAACATCAGTACTACTTAATAAAAGGGATAGGACAGCTATGTTACATTTGAGATGAAAGGTATTTGGCCACTGTAGGAGAACAAGTAAAAAAAAAGTGGGAAGAGTCTATTTGATTTAAATTAATATATTTTTTAAATTTACCAAATGAAGGGTAAGCAGGATCCTTGGGAATATGGGGTACTCAGGCCTTGGAGAAATCACTCTAGTGGGGCTTCAGCTAATGTGCTTCCCAATGTATATTTGATAGATGACCTACCTCAATCACCTGGGAAGGTTTATTAAAATGAATGTGCTGAGCCCCACCCCAGACATAATGAATTCAAGTCTAGGGGGAGAGTTGGGGTAAGAATTTGAATTTTAAATAAATTGCTCCAGTGATTCCAGACTCAAAGAAACTTGGAAGCTACTCCTTTAGAATAGCATGTAAATCAAATTTCAGAAAATTAAATCATGTGATAAATGAACTAAGAGGAATTGGATATTTAATGGAACCCTGTGGTGGATCCTTTTGTGAAGGGAAATATCCTTTTAAAATGCAAATCACCCACCACCTGTGTTTTCAAAATTCAAATATGTACTTATCGGGTTTTATTGAGCTACATACATAGTTGTAAGCATTACTACTCAAGTAAAATATTCATCTTCTTCAGCTTAGAGCAACCTTAAATGGAAATACACTAAATTGGGAATGAAGATCTGGATTCTACTGTCAACACATTAGTATTTCTGATAATAAAGCAAAATGGACATGAAGAAGCAAAACAGCAGGTTGTAAGAACCCTGTAACCATAAATGGGTTGACGTTTAGGGGTTACTCTGGGCATTTATTCTTATTCTGGGGCTTCCAAAAGATAAGGCATGGGAGGAACCAAACACTCATGGTAAAAAAGGAAACCACCTATTTTCAAAACAGTCTTACCATGGGCTCTGAACTACAACTACAACTCCAAAGCCAGTTCTATACCAATTTACCTAAAGATAGGCAGGAAACAGGAAATGAGCTTAGATGATTCTTTGGTAGACAAGAAATCAAAAATTATCAATGAAGAATTCTTTCTTACGAAATGACTACCTCCAAAAAAAAATCTCAAAACTTGAAGAAAGCTATTGAGGTGTCTTCTGTTATTATATCCTGACCAATTGCTTCAGTAGCTGAGCTCATGGAATATTCTGGATTCCCAAAAAGGTACCTAACACTTTTGATCCTTTCTGTTTCCTCTCTAGTGCCACATTCATTCTACAATGTAGATGTCTGTATAACTATATAACCAGGTTCCCTGGTATATGGACAGGAACAAGAAGAGAAAAAGATTGGCAATACATAAGGCAGGCCAAGTTGAAATTGCCTTGGAACAGACTGTAAATCATATGTAAAATATATGCAAAGTATACGTATGGCTCTTGAAACTATGTTACACTCCTTTGGGAAAATCCCCATGGAGATAGTTGCTTTTACAGCTCAGAAAAATGGAAATGACTATAAAGGCAAAGTCATTTATAAGCAGCTGGGCCATCATGAAGCCTGTCATGAGAATGACTAATACAGAGAAGAGAAACCATTTACTGAAACAGGCAAGGGAACGATGCAGTGTTCAGGAACTAGGCCTGAAGTTGAAAGTCTCCATCATTTAAGCTAATGCTGTCTCCCACCTTAAACTGTGATAGCCCATCCAGTTCCAATAGCTTTCAATCCATCCTTCTTTCCCCTCACCCTGGCTAAAAGCACTTTAAGAAAGGAAGTTAAAAAAAGAAAGGTTCAGAAAAAAAGCCAAAGTTATTCCTGCCAAGTCTTTTATTTCATTCACTTTCAGAGTACCTTTTTTTTTCCAGTGAAAAATCTACATATACCATCTTTTTTTTTTCATTCCAAAGGAGAAAAATTAAATGTCACTAATTGCTATGGGTGCCAATGTTGAATTCTTACGAAGCCATAAGGACTTTAAAAAGAATAATTACCTAAAGCCAGAAGGTGATGGAAGTGTTCATCTAATTTTCCAGAACTATAAAAGTAGTCAAGATGGAGCAAGAAGGGGATCAATTGAAAAAGAGGCTGCAAGAGATCAATCCTGTCTGTAGGGTGAGTGGGAATTGGGAAGAGAAAATCATGGGAAGAACCTCATGTTCAGAAATGCGTTTTAAATAGAGAAGTCACTTAACATGTATGTCTATTTAAACGTGAGCTTCTTCCTTTCCTGGGTTATTTCATGGGGTTCCTGAGCCATTCTTCTCTTTAAAATGCTCGGATTCCTCAACTGCTGACACCATCGTGTGTGACAGATTATCAGGACCTGGGAACTAAATATCTCAGACAGGAACTTGAGGTAGGGGAAGAAGGGAGCGCGCAGGCTGAAGAAGTCAGCCACCAGGGGCAGGGAGTTCAGAGGGCACAGAAACTTGGGAGAAGATCGGTAAAGGGAAAAGAATTGACCTAAAGGAGACCTCAGCTAGGTCCACAATTTTTAATCAACCAGTCCTTCCTAAGCAATTCTGTTCTCCATTATGGACTTTAGTTTCCTCTTTTACCTGGTTTTCTGTAGTACATTACAGCAGAATCCAGCCCTGTCCTACATTTTTATCAATGATCTGGCTAGGAACATCTATAGCACGCAGTCTGGAAGTGCAGATGACCTAAAATTCAGAGAAAGCTAGTACTTTTAGGAACCAGAGAAGGACTCTGACAGAATGGGACGGGAAAACATAAAATTTAATTTCAACAGCTGGGGATAGTGGTACATGACTCTATAATCACAGCTCCTCAGGAGGCAGAGGCAGAAAGATTATAAGTCCCAAGAGGGTAGAATAAGAAGCGTAGTATGACTTGACAGAAATGCCAAGGAAAATTCCAAGGTACATTTTGACTGAGCCATATGAAATTGCTGAAGTTTGACTTATTCCAACTTATATATAGTCATTGCAATTGCCCAAACTAATATTCCTAGAAAGGTATCAATGATCCCCAAATGGCAGGCTGGGTATGATAGCATATACTTATAACCTACTTATCCAGGAAACAGGGACAGGAAGATTATGAATTTAAAGCCAGCCAAAACCAAGTTGCCAAAACACTATCTCAAAAACAAAATAGAAAACAAAAGAGCTGGAGGCATGGTTCAAGTGGTAGTGTGTTTGCCTAGCATGCACAAGACTGTGCATTTAATTCTCAGTAGCACAAAGGGAGCCCACTACCACTGTAGCTGAGCTACACAAACATCCAACTAATCTCCAGCTAACACTGGAGAAGAGCAAGCTCCCCAACAAACTTGACATAGTACTAAGGAGGAGTTCAATAGTTGGGCTGGTGACAATGCTGATGGTTTTCAAGACAGAAAAGGAAAGATAACTCACTGCTAATTCTCTAAATCCTATCAGACTCTGCCTTTGAGTTTTACCATTCTAAAGTACCACCATGCCCAATCTTTATCATGTAGCCCTTTATATGGGGTAGCTCTACCAGCCCTCTTACTGTTTGCCTTTAGAGCAACTTTATTCTGACAACACGGTGATTAGGCCAAACAGAAAGTTTCTTCTGATAGAGTACATCAATCACCAATTTCTTGTATATAACATAATTACTGATTAGGATATATACAAGATTATTATCTTGAATATGGCATAATTACATAATTACAGTTAAACAGCCTCACCACCTTTCCAGCCTGTTCTACCTGTTATTGATGGAAGGAATGGTGAGATTTCCATGTGAATGAATGTCATTTATGTCAGAGAGATAAAGGCAGTCATGCCTATCTCCTTTCAGGGATGGGAAATGCCCATGTCCAGCCCATGGGCCCAATAAAGCCCACTGAAACATTTGGGCCAGGCAGCAGTGGCTCACACCTAGTATCATAGCTACTCAAGAGGCTGAGATTTGATGATCATGGTTCAAAGCCAACCCAGGGAGAAAAGCCTGTGAGATTCATATCTCAAATTAACCCCAAAAATCCAGAAATGGAGCTGTGGCCCAAATAGTAGAACATTAGTCTGGAACATAAAAGCTCAGGTCCTGAATTCAAGCCTGGGACCAGAACACACACACACACACACACACACACACACACACACACACACACACAAAGCATACAAAAGAATTAGCAATAATAACTTTTTCAAAGTCCAACCGTCATGGAAACCACCAAACTCTTTCCCCTTCATGAATGACATAAATACAGAAGAAAGAGCTCCTGTGCCCCATGAAAGAGCTGCATCCCAATAGCTCTTGGTGTGGTGAAGTTAACTAAAATCAAAGAACAGTCTTACATTTAAGTCAAACCAACTGCACAAACCCAAGAAGGGAAGAGAAATACCTTTGCAAGGCAGACAGAAATAGTAAATGCTTTTTCAATTTAATACTACAGTAACTTTGAAAAGGCTAAGGGGTTTGAGAGACATAGAACTACTCAATAAGAAACTGATCTCAGCCGGGCATGTGTATAATCCTAGCTACTCAGGAGACTGAGATCTGAGGACCTCTGTTCTAAACTAGAACAGGCAGAAAAGTCCATGAGACTCATCTCAAAAAAGCCAGGAGTGGCCCTGTGACTCAATTGGCAGAGCACTTGCCTCAAGCAAAAGCAGCTTAGGGACAATGCCTAGGTCCAGACTTCAAGTTAGAAAGAAAGAAAGAGAAGGAAGGAAGGAAGGAAGGAAGAAAGAAAGGAAGGAAAGAAGGAGGGTGATCTCAATTATGCCCTTGGTACTGTATGCTGTGTGTGAGTATCTTTCCTTGGAAAGAATGCAGAAAACAAAAGAAAAAAATTGTAAAGATCATTTTTCAGGGAACAATGGCCTGGATGAAAGAACTTTTAAAACTCTTAGATGAGAAACAGCCCAAAGAAATTGAAGATATTTCAGTCTTTAGAAAAAAAAATCCTTAAGGACAAAAGCCTGTCTTCAAGCACAGGCCTGCCATTAGAGGTGCTCTGTCTGTAGAGGGCTGGGAGCCATTCCGATGGTGAGAGCCACACAGTGACTGAGAAAAGTGCTCTCGGGCTGGGAAGGTGGCTCAGTAGTAGAGTGCTTGCCTTGCATGCATGAGGCCCTGGGTTCGATTGCTCAGCACCACATAAGCAGAAAATAAAAAAGCCGGAAGTGGTGCTATGGCTCATGTGGTAGAGCGCTAGCCTTGAGCTGAAGAGCTGAGGGACAGCGCCCACGACTGGACAAAAAAAAAATTATTAAAAAGAAAAAAAAAAAAGAAAAGCACTCTCAAACACTATAGGAGCTGGTGAGCACATACAAGGTGGCAGGGAGAAGGAACACAGACAAGGACATATCTGTCTTGTGAAAGTGACCTTCTTGAGCCCATGGACACACATGGAGGAGACATGGGAGGGTTCCTTACGGATCACATTAGGATGTCAGGATGATGGCTCCACAAGCCCTATTGAAGCACAAAGAAGAATTATTCCATTCATCCTTCCACCTGCCATTCTTCCCTTATTGTCTCCTGGAATTTAGGATAGTGGCAAAGAATGACACTGTCTTCTCCCTTTGCCTGCCAGGTCGTTTTCCTTCAAACAGTGGCTCTCAAACCCTAGTCATATCAGAATCGCCTGGGAGAACTCTCTTTACCAAGCCTCCTTTGTTAAACAACTCACCGAATGATTTTGGAGGTTATCAGAGTGTGCAAACCACTGCTCTCGGTAATCCAAAATGTGGGTTCCAATCCCAGCTCTACCCCTCACTAATTGTGAGATTTAAGGCAAGTTAACTTTTCTATAAAATAGCCCCTCCGGATCACTGTGGCTATCTCATGGAAAGTAGCTGGCACCATGGGTGGCCCATAGGAAGGGCTCAAAATCCATCATTAATAGGAGACTGGTCTATTCAGAACCTCTCTCTACTCATCTCTTGCCAACATACTCTCTTTGTCCTCTTTCTTCTCCTCCCTCCTTCAGTCTCTTTGGCATTTGGATTTTGTTAAGTAGCCTAGGATGGCTTTGACTTGCTATGTAGCCCAGGCTGGCCTCAAGGTATCAGACTTTCCAGGAGCCAGTGGCCATGTCTATAATCCTAGCAATTTAGGAGGTTGATACTCAAAGGATTACAGTTCAAAGCAGCAAAAATAAAGTCTGTAAGACAACACGTCCAAAACAACCAGCAAAAAGCCAGGCTAGGGGAATGGCGTAACTGGTAGAGTGTCAGCCAAGCAAGCAAGCAGAGCAAGTACAACGTCCTGAGTTCAAACCCTGAGTGGCCGGTGGCTCATGCCTATAATCCTAACTATTCAGGAGGATGAGATCTGAGGATCACAGTCTGAATGAAGCCAGCCCAGGAAGGAAAGTACATGAGACTCTTGTCCATATTAAACTATCCAAAAAAAAGCATAAGTAGAGCTGTGGCTCAAGTGGTAGAATGCTCGGGGACAGAGCTCAGGCCCTGAGTTCAAGCTCTAGGACAGGCACAAAGTTTTCCCCCCTCAAACTCATGCCCCTTCTGCCTCTACAGCTGTAAACAATCACAGCCAACTAAACATTCCTGTATCACTAGAAGACTATATCTTAATATGTCTCCCTTCAGACTCAGTCAGCTTAACCTACCCCACAAGGACCCAATGACCTGAACTCTCAGTCCTACTCCATCTTCCACCCACCCACCCACCTGAGATCTGTTCTAGCAAACGAGCTTAGCCCAGGTCCTTGCTAGACCCTCATGGGCTGCTCTATAGTCTGGGAAGGTCTCCGATGCCACCACAGACAATCTGTGTGACGTACTGGGATACACGGGAATGCTGTAGCCTCATTTCCCCTCTTGCCCAAGAAAGGACTTCACCTAAAACAGCTTCTCCATGGTCCCAGTGGTGACATTTTGAGTCGTACAAATTATTGAGTGGGCTTTCCCAAACATCACAGGACATTCAGCTCCCGTTGTCCCATGATACCAAATGCCCAGATCCCCTCGTTATTGAAGCAACAAACAAGCACTCCCACCCACTTGATGGGCTCAGGGGTGAGTTAGAACTATCCCACTGTAACTACAGAATACCGTGAATGCATTGTCAGGCTTTAACTCTAGCCTTAGCCTCCAGTACTGGGAAATGAACTGTGAACTCCAGGCTCTCCACAAATCTGCTTCCTGGAGATAGCCAAAACTAGATGCAGGCTCCTTACTCATACATGCTCATCAAGGACTGCTGCAGGAGTCAAAGGGGTCTTCCCAGGGCCCCCTTCCAATGCACTTACACACAGCGGAGGTGGATTTCCCTGCAGCCTGCATTGCACCTTGGGCTAAGCCCAAGATGGGCTTGTATCTCCAGAGATATCCCAATAAAAAGCAGACTTTCAAAGGAGTATGGGATGAAACTAAGAGCTGAATCCTAAGTACTCTTCATTCATTCAGCAAGTATTTATTCTAGGCCCATGATGCAGTATCATGACTCGGCTGAGAGGACAGAGCAGTGAGCAGGCCTCATCTTGGTGAGGCAGGAGCCCATACTTTGGTAGAGTTCCTATGCCACATTTCCAGGATCAGCCAGGTCAAGGTTTATATCCTGATCTGCCACCTTTTGTTGGATAGTGTCATTCCTTATTTATTAAATCCAAGTCCTTTCATTCATGGTAAGATGGACCTAAATAACTGATTTTACAATCTGGAATATCTAAAGAATTCAATAATGCATGCAAAATTTAGCATTTCAGTGCCTGGCTCAAAATACAAGCTCAATAAATGTCAAGTGTTTTTTTTCCTAATAAGGTAATAAGAAAAAAGGAAGTGGGACTATTACCCTCAAAAAAAAAAAAAGAAAAGAAGAGAGAAAATATGCCCTAGGTACTATTGGAGTCAGGAGCTGTAAATCTGGCTGATGGAAAGGTATTGTGCTGGTTTGAGTTCTCAAAGCCAGAGGATCATATCACAGATGCTCAGAATGGAAGAAGCCTTGAAAGAGGATCTAATTCCGATCCTTCATGGTAAAGAAAATGAGTCTGTCACCCAAAGTCTATCACTCAAGGAGGTTATATGACTTGACCAAGAGCATATGACTCCTAGAAAAAGTACCAGAATAGAACAGCAATCCCAGACCTGAACTTAAATCTTGAAATCTACCATACTTGCCTCTGACTTTTGGCAAAAGGATATGTTGTCTCAACATCCAGGTTTCTTCATCTATGAAGTGGTAACTACCTGGTATATGGCATATCTTCTTGTGGATAGCTCCCCTGTTCTTCCCTCTTTCTAAGATTCCAAGCCCTGCTTGAGAGAAATGCCTGGCATCTAAGCTAGAGGAGCCTCTTCACTGGAAGCACAAAGGTCAAGACCCCTGAGGGTGAATAT